AACTAGTGAAAAAGCTTTTGCACCTATTTACTGCAGGATGTTGGAACTGTGTCGTGGTGGTCATATTAGGCACTGTCAATTGCTATGCTGCCTTTTAGGGAGTTTTTGTTTCTTTGAAAAACAGGGTCTCACTATGTTGCTCAGGCTGGCCTTGAACTCCTGGACCCAAGCAATCTTCCTGCCTCAGCCCCTCAAGTAGCTGGGACTGCAGGGGCGCGCCACTCGCCAGCCCTTTGCATTTTCGTTTGAGAATGACACCACTTCCTGGAGTCTGCAGTCTTCCTGGAGCTGCAAGAGAGCAAGAGAGCTCGTTCCACCTCTGAGGGGGTGCGTTTTGATGACCTGCACTGTTCTTGGGCCAGCTGGGATGGGAATGCACATTTTAAAATACCTTCAATTTGGTCAAATTAAAAATCCCCAAGAGCAATTTGCAGTGTTTTTTTTCTGATCGTTAAAGTAGCCATCCTCTTCTGCCTACGCACAGAGCCTGCGTTCCCAGCTGTGTCTGCCTCTATTCCAGTATGGAGACCCATTTCTAAGAGGAAATGGGAGGTCAGCCTCTAACAGCCAAGTAGCGAACATGTATACTGTAAAATTAACCTAGAAAATCCGAAGTAGAATCCAATTTTATGCTTTGGAAAGACTGCCCACATTTTGTACTGTCAACGGAATTATCCTGGGGCTTTTAGGGGATGCCTTTGGTTATTAACTAAGACATCTAGTTTTGCTACAGGGACAAATCTCTTCTCTAATCCAATACATTATTTGACAGATTCAGGCATAAAGTGAAACGTTGTCACTTTTCCTTAGTGTTTTTCTGAAGGAATTTAAAAAGGGAATTTTAAACAGCCGTTGCAATATTTTCAAGTGGCTCTCACACAAAGTCCCATTACTGTTTGTTAAATTTCAGTACGTCCTAAAGTACTACTTATAAACAAATGAAACTCAGAGAAACTGAATCACTTGGAAGAGAAAAATCCATTATGGTCCCACGTGGAGCAAATAATAATGGATCAGTGCCCTTTCTCTCTTGTTATTGTATCAGATGAGACCTTGGCCCAGCAGTGATTAGGCAGCTTTTAAATTCTTAACTAAAAAGAATAATGCAATACAGGGATTATTCCCAATAAAATTAATTTTTATTTAAAAGCAACACATTTTACTTAGTTTTTCTTTTCAAAGTTTGATATTATCCCCTTTAAAAAAGTCTCTCTTCACTTTAAAGTATAAAGGTTTTAAAAACTCCAACTGCAAAATGTATTATTTTCACGACTATTGAAATGGCATAAAAGAACCTACTATTTAGGGCTGAAGGACATAGCCAGGCTAATGTCCACAGCCAGAGGGAATCAATGAATGAAAGTCATTTTCATTTCAGTAAGAAATCAGATTGTAAGTTTAATAAGTGACTCAATTATAGACACCACTATGTAATTCCTGGGAAGAAGACTTGAGTCAATGAAATCTAATCAGTGTGTCATTTCTCAGCAGCCAGTGGTGACTTAAAATTAAGACGAGGCAGAACCAAAATGGGAAACAGTCATTTTGTTGTAGGTATAAACACATGAACGATTGAGAAAATTATTCATCTCAGCTGCCATGCAGCATGACACTAACATTAGAACTGATTGTACTTCGTCTGTTCTGCTCAAGGAAAATAATAGTTCTATTATACTTAATGATGTTGTTTTTCACACAGCTCATTTCATTTTTCACTAGAAAGCCAGTTATGAAAGAGACCTGGCCTAGGCATCCCAGCTATGAGTCCTAGGCCCAGTCTCCCCCTGGAAAACCTTAGGCTGGTGTTTACGCATCTTTGAGCCTCAATTTCCTCATCTGCAAAATGGTGTGAATGAATAGTAATCCCTGTGCTGCTTACCTCACGGGGCTATTGTGAGGACCAAATGGAGACTGTAAACTGTAAAGTGCTGTCCACATGTGAGGTAATCTGATTACTATCCTCAGCTCTTTTTTTGTAGAGGATTTCTGTGTATTTCTTTATCATTTGAGTGTGTGTGCCATGGACGAATATGTGTATTAGTTTGAGAAGCATATCATTCGTGTCCAGTTACTTTGCAAATCTCTGGGCCTTTGGGATTGGACAGAGGGGTTTGTGCTGTGGCCTGACACTTGCCAGGGGAGGTGTAGGTTATGCCTATATGCAAATTAAACTTCACCTTTCTTGAATATGCAGAAATCTCATTGGTTTCTTCATTTAACTCTTCCCCCTCCCCATTTTCTGCATTGCCTTTGTCAACTTAAAACCATGAAATGTATACATTTTGAAAAAATAGAACTTTATTTCTTATATAAGGGTTACAGCCTGCAGGCTGGAGCCTCTGGCCAAAGCCAAAAGCAAGCCCTTTAGAGACAAAAGGGAGAGGCTGAGATTTATGCCCAACAAGAGGGGTCATACATAGACATTAGGTAGATTATAGGATAATCTTACAAATATTTACGAGAGGTCCTAATGCATGCATAGTCAGTAATCATATATGTTACATACAACCCGTGTTCATTTGGGGATGGAGACTTAACATTAAAATGTAGTAAAATTGGGCTGTGTACGTCAAGAGATGAAACACGGGACACAAAGACGTTTGGTGTGCAATCTGTAAGCCAGCCAGAGCCGGCTGTGGTCCATGGTCAGTTATGAGGATGGAATGCTTTGTGAGGCTGATCACTTGTCATAGGGAAACTGTGTTGAAGAAACGGGGGTTCGTCACAACATCAGTTTGTCTGTTGAAGTTGAGGAAGAAATCCTCCAGACATAGTTTTTCAGCAACTGGTTTTCATTTAATTGTAGGAAAGAAAGTCTTGAGGCAGTTACCCAGGTGGGGGAATGCTGGGTGTGGCTGACCTCTTCCCTTGCCAGAGCTGTAGAATCTGGTTTTTAACATTTTCTGGGGTCTCTTTTACCACAATGAGTCTGTTTTGTTTTGCTTGGGGGGCTTATTTTTATTTTGCATCTTCTTGTGAGTTCCTTGAAATATTTTATTTCTAAATATTACTTCCAAAGTTCAGGGAGAAAAACAGTTTAGAAGTGGCCCTAAAATATCAAAGAATTTGGGGAAAGCTTTGAAATAATACAAACGATCAGCTAATCAGACTTTCTTTCCAGTGCTTAGATTCCTCCTGTGACATCCCCAGCCCATATTTGATTACCTCCAGGCACGGAGAACTCACTACCACCTAGAACAGCTCAGTCCATCACACAGCAGCTCAATGCTCCTGCATGGGCTGTGGAGATAAGCTGCTGGGGTGGAGTCCTGGCCCAACAGTCACCAGGTGCCACTCAGGAGGGCCTTCTGAAATAAGACTCCTGTCTACCCCTAAAATCACTGCAGTAGCATATAGATTACTATATATTAAAATACTTTGAAATTTTACGAGGTTGTGCTAACATTTAGAGCTGATGGAATTAAGTCACACTTGCTGGACACAAGAATAGACTAAGGAAAGGGGTAAAGGCGTTCCTCCTGCCCAATTCTGAAATGAGCAATCCAGGCTGGTGGGACCCAGGTTCCTTTCATCCTATTACTTGCTCATCCCACAAGGCATTGTCCTTGCCTACAAGGTCAAATCTGTGGCCTGTTCTAGCCACACTCCTGCTGGACTCAGGAACGGAAAAGAGTAAGTCCAGGACATTTTCCTTTACAGCAAATGATATGGCAATCATACGCTTCAATTCTGTTCCCGCCCCTATGGCAGCAGCCAGCCACAGGGCAGCCTGGTGTGGCTCGAGCCCCAGAGCTTCAGAGGGAGTTGGTAATGATGAGAGGGGAATGGATGGCATGTGAGAGGGATGGCATTTGAAGGATTTCCAGAAATCCAGAATTTCCACTGTGAGAACCTCGTAGAGATTTCAGCCCCATCACCCCACCTTTATAAGCTTGGAGAGGACCAGGTCCTCAAAGGAAGAGTGGTACCCTCTCTTTTCTCAACAAGGACCCAGCTTTTCTTCTGACCTTACTCACTAACCTATACATTTATTCTGTAAAATATAAGGTGTTGAGTTAGGGTGAGTGGAGGGGGCCCTAAATGTTGACTAGGCAATTGGGGAGGAAAAGGAGGTTTTTGCTATAGATGCCATTTCTTGAAATCTACAATTCCATGCTCTTCAAAAGCCTTATGGTTTTCTGGATCTGGGAGGGGGGCTGTTTCAGGGTCACTGGATTTATTTCAGTTGGTGCCTGAACTAACTTGAAACGCCTGTGTGTGCAAAAGAGCTATTTTGAGAAGGAATAAACCGAGACCGCCCTGATGACAGAATATGCACACTGGTGGGTCTTGACTCCTTACAGGATTATGAAATCCATTTGGTTGGTCCCTATCTTTACTGTATATAACCACTCCAGCCAAGAACCTTTCCATCCCACCAAAAGGCCCCCTCATGTGCTCTCCCAATCAGTACCCCATGCAAAGGTAAAATAGGTGATTTTTTTTTTTTTTTTTTTTTTTTTTTTTTGAGACGGAGTTTCGCTCTTGTTACCCAGGCTGGAGTGCAATGGCGCTATCTCGGCTCACCGCAACCTCTGCCTCCTGGGTTCAGGCAATTCTCCTGCCTCAGCCTCCTGAGTAGCTGGGATTACAGGCACGGGCCACCATGCCCAGCTAATTTTTGTATTTTTTCTAGAGACGGGGTTTCACCATGTTGACCAGGATGGTCTCGATCTGTTGACCTCGTGATCCACACGCCTCGGCCTCCCAAAGTGCTGGGATTACAGGCTTGAGCCACCGCGCCCGGCAACAGGTGATATTTTTAAACATGGGTCGTGTTTAAAAGAAATAGAAACTGAAGGAGAAGCACACTGGGTAAAAGGTTACTCATGGGGCTCCACCTCCTGCTCCATCAAGTCCTCTGAGCGTGAGCTGGGCTCTGAGAAGGAAGAGACAGGAACCAGCTGGTCATGTCCACGTGGCCTCAGAAGCTGAGTACGTGACGGTCACCAGATACCTAGGTAGGCTCCCTTGAAATGGCAGGGCTGCTGTCCAAAATCCTGCTTGGTTCATTGCTATTTACAAGCAGCCTTCCCAGCGTGCAATGGATATCCCAGGCAGGGCTATTTTTAAGCAGGGCTATGGCCTGCCGTGGGTTAAGCTGGTGTGGACAGAAAGCGACATGATCTAGCCGTCTACTGCAGATGGCCTGATCTTGAAGAGAAATGTGACTGTAGTTGTCCCTGGATCCCGGCCCCAGACAAAGATGCTGGAAGGAGGTCCCTCCGGCCCCTGGTTCAGGGACCGGTCAGCTGCTGGAGTCAGGCAGCTTGAGACATCCTCCTCTCTGACCTTGGCTTGAGGGGTTCATCCTCCAGAGCTCACCAGGACCCAAGGCTGGTGCACCTGAGAGAAGAGAGAAACAAATCCCCCAACAGATGTGCAGTTTCTCCTGCTGACCCTTCCATTCTGAGACCCAAGCACCACTCTTAGAGCACTGGCAGAGGAGCCTCCAGGACCAGGCCTGGGGAGCAAGACTGGCCGTTTACGTTTCAGAGAAAGGGCAGGTGCTGCCAAGGGCCCAGCGCTCAGGGGCCTGCCTTCAAGGGTACGGCTGTGGGGCCGGTGCCACGGGAGGTCCGCGCTGGGATTGGCGAGGTCCTAAGCCCCGCCCCGCCAGGGAGGCTTTTCCAGGCCGGCCGGCCGGCTCCCCGGACGCTTCTTGGCTGTGTGGGCTCTGCAGGACGTGGGAGAGTCCGGCGTCAAGGTCGGTGAGTCCGTGAAACTCTGTTTTATTCCTCCAAAGAGGCGGCATGGCTAGAGCCAGTGTGAGGGGCCTCGGCGGAGCGGATGCAGGGCTGTGGCCCGGCAGGGACCCCGTTAGGACGCTGATTGCGGGGAGGCAACGCTGACTCGCTAAAGCCCGCAGACCGCCGCCCTTGGCCGGAGCGTCCCCTCCTCCCTGGCTTGGGGCAGCTCAGCCCGAGGAGCAGAACAAATCAGCACGCTGCCTGCAGGGCCTCTTTTTGTCGTGAATCAGGAATTTTTCCTGATGGACAAAAAGGAAAAGAAATCCAAAGGCTGTATTTTGACACTAAGTTTGGGACAACTTTAAACTTCAAATATCTTCCCCTTGTAATTTGCAGAGTCTAATCCACTCATTTCCGGGAATGTTTTTCCCCAGGAGTCTCAGTCTCAAAAAGACATGTAAATCAGTGACGGGATGAACTGACTAGAAAATTAAAATTTTGGTGACGCTAATTACTAATAAGCCCAGTAGCCAGGCCCAGTTTAAACTGGCAAATAATATTGCTAGAGATTCAGTTTTGCCATCATTAATATTTACACAATGATAAAAATGAGCCAAGTAAGCGTCTCCCCTCCCCCCTTCCTTACCTTTCCCACCGGAGGTTAATTAACAACCCAAACCTGTGGAATTGGCCCCATGCGTTGCATCTGGGCAGGGGCTTGTTCTTCGCTAGCTTGCTGGGTTGTCCCGGGGTTACAGTCAATCCTGTTGAGTGGTCTGCTTTCAAATGCTCTCCTCCGAATCTGAGGAAGAGTGACATTTGACAGGCCAAAATCTTTAGGTCTCCTCAGTGCTGCTCTTTAGATCTTCTAGAGAGTGTCGCCAGGCTCAGTGACCCCTCAGTGGCAGCTGGAGTCAAGTGAGGGGCGATTAGTGCCTCAGGACAAGGTTAACGCTAGTTACACCTGTGCGCTGTTTCCAGAAGGGCTGCTTCTCCGGTCTGTGGCCCTCACGGTTTCTCCATTCTGAACTCGTGTCCTTGGTCTCTCTGTCCTCTCGCGGAAGCGAGCACGGCCACGGAATGTGGCCACAGGTTTCCTGACAGGTGGGCTCCTCCAGAAGGCTCTGCGCCTTGCTTGGCAGTTTGAGCACTTCACTTCCTCTGCATTGAGAGGCACCTTTTCCAAAGACTTTGGCGTTAATCACACTTGAGGGTTAAGGCACTGTCCCAGCAGAGCACAGGAGTGCCACAGGCACCCCGTGGACTGCTGGCCTCGTGACCAAATCACATCCTTCAGAAATGGGCCATAGCCAGGTCGGTTTTCCTAAGGAAACCGTGAGTTACGTGTGTGTCGGTGGGGCGGGGGCAGCACAGAACAGGGAATCCTGAGGTTTCAGACACATGGTGGGGACTGACTTTGCCCCTAGCTCAGAGGCCCCGGGCCTCCGTCTCTGCCATCGCCTAGAGCTGGCTCCATTTGTCTTCCCAGAGGAAGCCTCATAGAGCCTTCGTTGAGCATTCTGGGAGCTCCTGCCCACAGAGCCAGGAATCCAGCAGGAAGCCATGCTGAAGGTGACTGCTGGAGGTCATACCCAGCCCTGCCTGGGAAGCCTCAGAGACTCCCACTGTGGGCAGGGAGGAAGGAAGCCCACTTCACAGCACTTCAGTGGACTAGATGGCTCCTAGCTTCCTGTTTTCTTAAAAATATATACACCCTTGAGGAACAAGTCTGGTAACAATCCCGTATCTCCTTCACAGGAGGCCCAGGAAAGGCCTCTGTCCTACCAAGTAGGATTCTAAGTATCTCCTGCCTGGGACTTTCTACTTGCTGAGTAGAACAGTGATGTCAAGAGTGCCCATTAAGGTTGGCTGTGTACCCAGTGATCGTGAGGTCAATTGAACCCTTTGCTGTCTTAGAACTGGGAGGAGACAGGCATTTTCTGCTGGCCTAGGAGCCTGGCCTCTTGAGAATTTGTTCAGAGTGTTCTGTGGAGCTGGTCCAAACTCAAGGACGTCCTCTGTTTTGGGGTGGCTCTCTGGATGGAAAGCTGACACGTGATGCTCCCCACAGCCTTCCACCTGCCCTCTGGCTGAGGAGTTCAGACACACCGACGCTGTGAATGGCTGGAGCAGAAATAAGTCTGAGTCAGCCGAAAGGCAGACATGGTCCATCCATGATGCCCAGGAAAAGCAGGGAGCTTGGGCTGGAGGCAGCGACAGAACCCAGGGCCTCCCCTTCACATTCTAGGATGTCACAGAACCAGAGAAGACCATTAGACCAGGATCTGGACTCCCAGTATGACTGCCTGGGACCAAGACATGTATAGCTCGTGGTCAATTAAAAGAGCCTGATGCAATTCTCCTTATTTTTAACGGAGAGGGCAGTGTAGGACCAAACACAGTATTATTGCTTTTGGCTCTGTCTGGCTGTACCCTTGCACTTCCCTGCTCCCGATCTCCCTAGCTTGGAGCCCAGGTATTCTGCCAGTTTTAGCCTACATGCTATAAATGGTGTTTTTCAAACTGGGAGCCATGGCAGTGTCCCAGGTCAGGGAAACTGAGGCAGACAGTTTCTATGGCGTGAGAGCTGGAGACTGCCTTCCTCCTCATACTGGCACAGCATCCCTAGCAAGGCCTGGGAGGCACATTGGGCACCTGGGGTCAGAGTGGAAGGGGCAGAGATATCCCTGGCATCTGGGCTCCATAGTGGGGAGTCCAAGGACAGGGAGAGAGAGTAAGTTTATAATCTGCAACTCTAGGATTTCAGGGCGAGTCATATGCCCTGAGGTGACAATCCTGTGCCCAGGAGCTGCTATGGTAAATGTACTTGTACGGTCTTGGGGTTTGACCGAGTGGAGTGGCCTGTGGCACCACAGCTCCTAAGCCACAAGGGTGATTTCCTTCCAACTGCTGGTCAGTGCAGGGCTGTCTGTGAGGTGCTGGGATCTGCAAGGAAGCTGAATCCAGGGCTAAAGGCAAACCTGGGTTCAAATCCCAGCTCTAAGGCCGGGCGCGGTGGCTCAAGCCTGTAATCCCAGCACTTTGGGAGGCCGAGGCGGGTGGATCACAAGGTCAAGAGATCGAGACCAACCTGGTCAACATGGTGAAACCCCGTCTCTACTAAAAATACAAAAAATTAGCTAGGCATGGTGGCGCGTGCCTGTCATCCCAGCTACTCAGGAGGCTGAGGCAGGAGAATTGCCTGAACCCAGGAGGCGGAGGTTGCGGTGAGCCGAGATCGTGCCATTGCACTCCAGCCTGGGTAGCAAGAGCGAAACTCCGTCTCAAAAAAAAAAAAAAAAAAAATCCCAGCTCTACCAGTGTGCTGGCGCTGAAACCTGGGGTAGGTCACTTCTCTTGAGCCTCAGTTTCCCCATGCACACAATAAAGCATACTTGGCAAGATTGTTACAAAGACTGGTTGTGTTTATAAGGCCCATTGCATAATGCATGGCTCATAATAGGAGCTCATAAATGTTAGCTCAAAAAAGAAGACAGAGGTTTGACTCAGTCGGTGTACAGGGTTGGAAAGGATATTCCAGGTAAAAGAAAATGCTCAAGCAAAGGGTCAGAGGTGGCAAAGTGAAGGACCTGTCCGGTGATGCCAGGACGTCACTGGACACACTGTTGGAGGGTGGAGTCTGGAAGAAAAACTGGGGAACTCAACTGGTTAAATCCATTTTGTGAACCCTAATGTTGCTTTTCGGAGGATGACCAGTAGGTCTGAAAGTATGTGATAGACACCTTCAAAGTCTTGTCTGCAGAGAGATAGAAAATACAAATTAAATGAAGCCAGCCATGTGGCTCACGCCTATAATCCCAGCCCTTTGGGAGGCTGAGGCAGGTGGATCAATTAAGGTCAGAGGTTTGAGACTAGCCTGGCCAACATGGCAAAATCCCATCTCTACTAAAAGTACACAATTAGCCACATGCAGTGGTGGGCGCCTGTAACCCCAGCTACTTGGGAGACTGAAGCAAGAGAATTGCTTGAACCCAAGAATTGGAGGTTGCAGTGAGCAGGGATGTCACTGCACTCCAGCCTGGGTGACCGAGTGAGACTACTTCTCAAATTAAATGAAAGATTTAAATGCTAAAAATGTAGGCTAAAATGAAAAAGCATTCAGAGGAGGGGCAGACCAGTGCTGGCTGGAAAAATCAGGTGTGGCTTTGGGGAGGTAGTGACAACGATCCCATAGCCGTAGGGTCATCGGGGGGAAGCGACTCGCATTTATTCAGTGCCTACTGCAGCCTGTCCCGTCGTCTTCATGACACCCCACAGGGAGACTCCATTATGCCCATGATGGAGAGGAGCTGCTCAGGCTCAGGTGGGTACCATGCAGGGTTCCTACACCCAGCGGTCTTGGTGACAGCCTGTACTCAGGGAGCTTTTTCTCACTATACACGTGAGGACCCCACTCTTAGAGAGACCCATTCCAAAAGGTGGAGCCTAGAAATCCAAAATTTTAACACACATCACAATTTTCTTTTTTAGGTTGTTATTTCATCATAAAAGTGACACATGCTTATTTTTACAAGTGATACAATACAGAGTTCCATTAAGAGAAAATTAATCTGCCTTCTCCAAGTCCGTTGCTCTGAAGCAACCCTTTTGGCAGTTTGATGAATATCCTTTGATACTTTCATGTTCATACAAATATATGAAAATGTATATGTGCATGCATCATTGTTACAAAACTGCAACCACTCATATTCAGTCCTAAGCAAATTTTCCTTTTCACCTAAAAGGTGTCACAGATGGCCAGGTCCGTGGAGGCAGTTCTAACTCCTTTAATAGGTGCAGAATACTTCACCATCTGAATGCACCAGCAGTTTCTGAGTGGCAATGCTGGGCTTCTCACACTGTCTGTGGCAAAATCTCTAATTTTCTAATTTCTTTCAAAGTTTCAAAATGTTGAAAATTTCTAATTCATAGCAGACCCACACATTTGTAAAATATGATAAAGCACAACTACTAGAAAAATAGAATCAACAGACATACAAAATGCTACCTCAAAATTTAAA